GGATAACTTTATCCCTAAGTAATTGAAATGTGTATTTCAGAATTACAGTTTTTATTTGTACAAATCTTTAAAATATTTTTTTAATAACTGCAATATACATTGTATTTATCCCAAATGACAACAATTTGTATTCATAAATTGACTAAGGAATAAAGCAAAATAAATGCTACAAGTGACTTGCCAAATAACAACCCATTGATTATTGATTTATAGGAAGCAGATGTTCCATTGCTCTGTTTATGTTGAGGATTTATATGTGTAATTACTGCTGAACGAGTAAGTTTTCGATTTCTCTCCCAGTCGGGTAAACAGCAGCTCGTCTCTGCTGCATAAATATTCATGCTTGCTGTGTAGCAGTGCTGTCTGGGAATTGGAAGTCACTTGTGATCAACACACCTCAGTAAACATGCTTTACACACTGTTTTTACCTCCACTTGCGTGTCTTTGGGCCTGTCTCCCCCGCCTCAATCTCACTCCTCTCCACCTCCTCTCTGCGGCGCTCCCCATCTCTCATGGAGGCTCAGTGTCAATTACGACAAATGGTGACACCGCTCCCCCTTCAGCAGGAGAAACAAGAGCTCCTTGTTTTCTTTGAGAGACAAGCCACAAAAGGCTCACTCCCATACACACTGCGGCGCAAAGAGGTTCACACTTAGGTAATTGGCTGTCGCAGTAGATGCTCAAAACTTTGCCTGTTCTCCTCAGATTGAAGGCAATAAACAATATGGCATGAATAAAATATAAAACCCAATTATTCATGTCAGGCATATAAACAAATGATTGCCTTTTGTAAATATTTTATTTGGGGAGTCTTTTTGCTGTGTTGCCTTGTGTGGCCCTGAGTGAGGTTGAAAGAGATCAGAGGAAAGGGAGATGATCTTTTCCAAGCTCAGACATTTTGTTAAACATTAATGGGGCCAACGCTGTATGGAGGAGGCTTTAATCTTCTCAGTGATTGAGCCACTATGGCCTTCTTCCACCTCCCTCTCTCTTCATCTTCGCTTTCCATCCTTGCCACTCACCTCTGCAGACTCCCCGCCCTCCTCATCCTGATCCCTTTTCCTCCTTTCATCTCTTGCCCTATTCTCTCCTCTTTAACCCCCCTTCCCTTCCCTTCAGTGACGGATTGGGCTATCACTTCCCTGTGCTCTGCAGTATATCATCTCAGATCTGGGTTATTCAAATCAGGTTAAAATCTCATCAACCCTTGCAACCCAGTTAGAACCTATTTGTCATTTTTGGCTTTCTCAGAAAAAAAGAGCCATGGTTGCACTAGAACAGTGTGTTGATTGAGGTTTAACAGGATTTTTTAACAACAAGGTTGGTCTGAATCCAGTCCATATGTTACCAAAGCAGGAGCTCTGCATTCTCAGCACATAGATGATCTGGTTCTATGGAAGTAAATATGTGCCATCAGGATTTGAATAAAAAATGCCTCTGAATTTTCAACGTAAAAAGATTCAGTGATAAAAAATTTGCTGTTAAAAATTCAACGTCTAAAAATTTGCTGTAAAAAAAATTCAACGTCTAAAAATTCACTGTAAAAAAAATTCAACGTCTAAAAATTCGCTGTTAAAAATTCAACGTCTAAAAATTCGCTGTTAAAAATTCAACGTCTAAAAATTCGCTGTAAAAAATTCAACGTCTAAAAATTCGCTGAAAAAATTCAACGTCTAAAAATTCGCTGTAAAAAATTCAGCGTCTAAAAATTTGCTGTAAAAAATTCAACGTCTAAAAATTCGCTGTTAAAAATTCAACGTCTAAAAATTCGCTGTAAAAATTCAGCGTCTAAAAATTCGCTGTAAAAAATTCAACGTCTAAAAATTCGCTGTAAAAAATTCAGCGTCTAAAAATTCGCTGTAAAAAATTCAACGTCTAAAAATTCGCTGTAAAAAATTCAACGTCTAAAAATTCGCTGTAAAAAATTCAGCGTCTAAAAATTCGCTGTAAAAAATTCAACGTCTAAAAATTCGCTGTAAAAAATGGAAAGGTTACTTCAGGTCACAGACATGCGCAATGGACGTCAGATTCCAACACCCAGCCAATCACAAGACGCCACGTCATATAGAAGAAATACCAGCATCACGGAGACTGGCGACTATGGAGACGAACGCTAACCCAAAGGTGAGTTTAATGCTTTCATATTTCTGTAGTACATTTCATTTTGCGCCTGAGGTTTGATACATTATCTTAAAGCTCGATTTAAAGCACGGGTTTGGTTTGGTCCGTTGTTAATCTTACAGCATGTAGCGCAGGCATATAACGTCTCGCTACCTCCTAGCATCGAGCCGCTCCTAGCCTCCAGCCCCTCCCCGCTGTCCCTCACCCAACTTCCCCCTGTTTTATTTAAAAAAGAAAGAAACTTGGATCTTTAAAGAGAACTGATGGGTGGCGACTTTCTGGGTTGTTTGTATCTTGTCTTGGGTGAAAACTAAGAAGTGTCTGAAACAGTGCTTGGGCCATTTACATTATATTCTTCAGGCAGTGATGGTGAGTGGTTGATAGCTGGTGCTAATGTCACAATCAAACTCCAGTCCTCCAGGGCCGCTGTCTTGCAGTTTTTAGATGTGCCACACTACAAAATGCTGGAATGAAATGGTTTAATCACCTCCTCCTTGTGTAGATCAGGTCTCCAGAGCCTTATCCAGGTGTGGTGCAGCAGAGGCTCATCTAAAAGTTGCAGGGCAGCGGCCCTCCAGGACTGGACTTTGACACCCCAGGCTTATGTATGTCCATTTAGGATACAAATAGTGATAGTCATTAAGCATTGACTTCAGCTACACAGAAATTGTCTTCCAAAGGAATTTGGCATGTTTTAACGCTTACTTTGTATTAAACACGTTTTTTAAAAATTATTTTTTTGCCCTGACCTTACTTTGGTATTTACTTTGGTATTTGTTTTTGATGCACAATTACCATATGAAATTTGAACTTTTTCCTGTAACTACATGAACTTGTTTTTTTCTCTTAGACTGGTATAACATATGCGATGCTTCAAAGGCCATTTCTCGCTGTCCAGACCATCTCCTCCAAAAACCTGCAACGGAGAACCCCTGGCTGTTGAAGATGGACTTAAGAGATAGAAAAAGACATGGCTCTGCATACTCATATAATCATGTATATTATTTGTACTCTCAAATCCTCTAGTTTTGTCAAAATCATATATCTGATTTTGACAAGCCGCTCCTCACCCAGGAGCGGCTTGTGTATAATTGTATAAATTGTGCTTAACATCTGACTGTATATAGGTAACTAATCATAATCAGGATTTTGTCTGTGATTTAATTCAAAGCATGACTTATTTTGAAGAGCGGAAATCTTCACATTTATAAAATGTGAATGCAGGTGCCATTTGAATGCAGGTGCATTATACAATTATTGTCAAAATCATATATCTGATTTTGACAAAACTAGAGGAATTAGAATAACAATGTTCAGAGTAGATACTTCATTTGTCCGAGTCCGTACTGTTTGTACAGGCAGTTTTAAATATGAAACTGAAATTGTTTTTATGCAAAATTTTATTGAATGTACTTACATGAGTTCATCTATGCTTGAAGTATTACAAAATAAATTACCTAAGACTAACTTTCTGATTCTTATGATGCCAGAAATTTAAAGTACTACAACAATGGACAAATGTACCTATCAGCTTCCTTTTGAGGTAAGAAAAAAAACAATCAAATCAAACACTTTAGTTCTGTAACAACTTCCATAAAAGCACTAAAATTCACATTTATGGTAACATAATCAGCATTTTCCTTTACATTTTATAAATGTGAAGATTTCCGCTCTTCAAAATAAGTCATGCTTTGAATTTAATCACAGACAAAATCCTGATTATGATTAGTTACCTATATACAGTCAGATGTTAAGCACAATTTATACAATTATACACAGAATTTAACTTGATTTAACATAATTACAAAAAGGTAACGTGAAAAATAATTAAATTCAAAGCATGATTCATTTTGAAAAGCGGAAGTCTTATTTTGAAGACAACTTTCACATAGTAAAAACTGCTCACAAAACTGAACTGCAGCATAAAATGTCACATTCAGAAGATGATGTGGCTTTTGGGTTTACTGCATTTCTTTAGGCTGTCATTTGTTCATCAGTCAGTTGCAAATTAGAGTTTGGTACTGTGTGTTTTTGACTCGTGAAGAGGAAACCCGCTGTCCTTCCATACAATTTCTGGAATTTGTACACCCTGGAAAACACAAAGATTTTCCAATTAATACAACAAAAATGACAAATTTTAGCAAAGCTCAAACATTCTTTGTCACCAAAAATATGTTGTGGAGATACACAATAGTGGGAATTTTAATTGCACCCGAGTCTTCTATAGACTAATATTGACGACTCAGGTACAATTAATAAAATTCTGTCGAAATTTTATGCAAATACAATATTGCATATAATAAAACAAACACTTTTATCACCTCCTCTGTAAATTTCAAAAATATTTCTCCTTAGACTGGGACATTTTTTGTGTGTAGTGTAGCGATGTGATGTTGTTACACTAGATTGTTAAGTGGGAGGGTGTTCCGATGGGAAATTCTGAGCACCGGCAGCTTTATTTTGAAAGGACAGATCCATTGTAATCCAGCGGGTAACTTCCTGTCTCCAAATTATTATTTTTATTAAACTTTCATGTGTTGTAAATAGAAATGGGAATTATTATTGTTGCTGTTGAACATATTTAGTTCATGGGTCACTATTTCTAGTATCAGTTTGAGTTTAAAAATATAAATTAGTGGATCATACCATTGTAGGCTGTGAAAGGTTTTCCCACACTCTCGGTCGCGCTCTTTCTGTTCGGATTCCGTGGGAGAAGGTATGAAGTTTCGTTTTGTGTTTAATAAGTGTATGCTAGTGTATTAAGTGATGGTTTTATCACAGTTTTTTTTGTAAATAATGTGTATTGTTTTTGTAGTATAAATTAACCTTTGTTAAATTAAGGCTAGTAGCTAACAGTTAGCTAGCTGTTTTACATGAAACATTGCTAACAAATCGTATGTGCATGTGCTGAAGATAGTATTGTTCATGGTTGAACAGGCGCTGTGCGGGACTGAAAAGTACACTGTTCTGATTGATACTATTTTCTGCCATTTGAATGCAGGTATGTGATGTTTCATTACTATTTATGGTATTTTATTTGGTTTTCATTAATGTACTGTTTAAGGTTAATATGCCCATGTTTGGGCTCAGTTACTTATTAATGCAATTGTTTTTATTTCATAAAGTAAATGTGTTACTTTACTTAAGTCACACGCACTTGCGCTCTTTCTGTTCGGATTCCGTGGGAGAAGGCGCTGTGCGGGACTGAAAAGTACACTGTTCTGATTGTACTTTCTGCCATTTGAATGCAGGTGCATTAAAATCATCTGCACTTCAGCTGTTGTTTGGCTTTTCTTGCCTCAAAAAGACACAACGCAGGATTAACTACGCTACAGTAGCATATTTAATATACAAAACATTTTAAAGTGTTTTACATGACAAAGCAGACGCAATTATTATGATATTTAATCTACAATTAGTTAGCTGACATACTTACAAGCATGTTTTCTTCAAAATGAGTTAAAATGAACTGAGCAAACAAAGGGGATTGTTTATAGTGTTACTAGGTAACAGGACAACGTGTTGTAGCAATTAATATTCTATATCAATACTCGTCAGATAAGAAAAGCAGTATTTTGGATGATGTTATAATGACAATAAAATTATTGCTTCGTTCATAAGTGAATCCTTCCGTACTTTACAAAAAGGATGGCAATCTTACTGCGCTCTTCTCCCGTTAAAATTGTAGAAACTATATCAAACACAAGTAAATCTACAGTTTGGTAGGTAACTAGTATTTTTATAATGTCGTAATGACAATAAATTCATTAATTCATTCATAAATGAAGTCACATTAACAGTACAGTAGCTGAACAGAATGGGGTTGTGGGTATAGTTAATGTCGGAAGTGTTCACAGCCCTTCCTTGAAGCACACAAGACAGCCATATTAACTTATTGCATTAGTTAATATGTAATAACTAATGTTGCTTTCATTTATCCTCATTGACACTGTTCAGCCTGGGATGCGCGTCTTCTATCTGAAGCCTGTATGTATCTTTGCTAGGCCATGGTGGAGAGCGGTAGCATCTCCTGAAAAATTTGGACTTTACTAAGACCGCCTGTCTCAGTTTCATCCAAGACAAGATACAAACAACCACTCATCAGTTCTCTTTAAAGATCCAAGTTTCTTTCATTTTTAAATAAAACGGGGGAAGTTGGGTGAGGGACAGGGGGGAGGGGCTGGAGGCTAGGAGGCTAGGAGGGGCTGGATGCTAGGAGGTAGCGAGATGTTATATGCCTGCGCTACATGCTGTAAGATTAACAACGGACCAAACCAAACCCGTGTTTTAAATCGAGCTTTAAGATAATGTATCAAGCCTCAGGCGCAAAATGAAATGTACTACAGAATGAAATGTACTACAGAAATATGAAAGCATTAAACTCACCTTTGGGTTAGCGTTCGCCTCCATAGTCACCAGCCTCCGTGATGCTGGTATTTCTTCTATATGACGTGGCGTCTTGTGATTGGCTGGGTGTTGGAATCTGACGCCCATTGCGCATGTCTGTGACCTGAAGTAACCTTTCCATTTTTAACAGCGAATTTTTAGACGTTGAATTTGAGACAGCGAATTTTTAGACGCTGAATTTTTTACAGCGAATTTTTAGACGTTGAATTTTTTACAGCGAATTTTTAGACGTTGAATTTTTTACAGCGCATTTTTAGACGCTGAATTTTTTACAGCGAATTTGTAGACGTTGAATTTTTAACAGTGAATTTTTAGACGTTGAATTTTTTTTACAGCGAATTTTTAGACTGAATTTTTAACAGCGAATTTTTAGACGTTGAATTTTTAACAGCAAATTTTTTATCACTGAATTTTTTTACGTTGAAAATTCAGAGGCATTTTTTATTCAAATCCTGATGGCACATATTTACTTCCATATGGTTCCCAGTGGACTGTGGAGTCTAGCAGGACTGGCTCATGTTTGTGGTGTTCATCAACAGAATCTCAGAGATTAGTTGAGGTGAGAAAGCTCTAGTTTCATATATTTGATATCTGCAGAAAATGTGCTTCTCCCAGGTAATTTAAATAACTACCTTGGGTTTCCACCAGGAACCTCACTAACCCCAGTGGTAGGAGCACCAGGCAGTCATCCAGCAGCTTTCAGTTAAAAAAACATTAAAACACTCCCCGCACCCCCGAAAAAAAAAAAAAAAAACTGACATAAATAAAGAAACAATGATAAGCAAACAAATAAAGCCTGATGGCCCACCAGACTGATATACACTGGGAAACCTGGGTTACCTTCATGTAACCTGCACAAAATAATAAACCCGTATTTTATTTTGGCGGGTCAAACCGGACAGCACGCTTTAAATTCGGGGTCAGAACTGGACTCGGATCTGCTCAATTGCTTTTGCTGCTGTTGCTGTGGCTGGCTGCTGGTGTTGGCGTTTTCCTAAATCGCTGAAAAATATTGCAAAATCGAGCCCAATTAACACAGCTGAAGGATTATATTGGGTATAGTCTGACAACTGCTCGACGGTCAGGCTTTTTTTTCACCCCCGGTTTCAACCCAGGATGGTGAGCTACCAGATCACCGCAGCTTTGCGGTAGGACTAACTTGGACCAAATTGCTTTAGTTCTCTGGACCTATAGCTCTGGATTATGGACTAGGGAAAACAAAAGGACCTAGTCGGACTGTGATTGGTGGATCATTAATCACTCTGCATGTAAAGTACTGGACTTGAATGAGAAAAAGAACTCTTGGGTGTTATCAGGATTTATTTATTTATTTAATTATTGATTTATTTTTGTTGTTGTCTTCTTGTTGTAACTATTGTTTATACTCATAGGAAAATACAAATATATATTATTATTATTGAATACCTCTCTAAATATATGCAAGGATATGCTTTTGAATACAATGACTTAAACTTACAACCTGTCTGTTGTTGTTTTATTCACATTCACGGACTCCGCAGGCAAACCCTTCTGATTGCCTATTGCTATATTTGGCTGTAGTCAGGCGCCTAGCCTCAGTGAGCGTTACACTTGGTGAGCTAGCCAGGAGCCTGTGAGTGTGAATATTTTTTTGGGTTCCTTAGTTACATTTTGAATATTTATTTGAGTTTTGAGGAAGAAAAGCTTGAGTAAAATATACAATATAGAAGGAAAAGGAAAAATAAATAAACATGGATTTTGTTGCGCAATCTGGTATAAATGTATCACAGTCAGTGATGATTACTGGCGCTACTAATACCAAGGCCGATGAAGAAATACTTGATTGCTTGAGTAGCTATGGTAAGCTTAATCGCACTCTGTAGGTAACTGATTCCTCAAGCACTTTTTTAAAAAACCTGATCGTTGAATTTGCGGATTCCACTGCTTTTTCCGCGTTGCAACCGCTTTTGCCTTATACTTACTCCTCTCAAACGACCACTGATCTTGTGTTCCGTGTCACTGCTTTGGCGCTCGAGTACGCAGCCACAATCGATAGCAGCAGTAGCCATCAGCCCAACTATGTCGCTGAACTTAATAAAATCGCTGATCAGAGTGGCCATCGTTTTGAAGATGTATTAAAGATAGTAATGAGCCAGATCGGCCAACATTTGCATGCAGCAGGAGCCGATGACAATTTTGGAGGTGATGCTGGCATTAGAGATGATGATGATGATGATGATGATGATGATGATTATGACGACGACAATGATGACAATGAGGAGGGTGGAACAAAGGTAAAAGAGGAAGAGGATACATTCATTGCTCGACAGCCAGTGCAAACAGGGTTGAGATCAGGGTCATTATCCTCACTTCCTCCTGCTCAGTCCTCTGCGGAGCAGGGAGTACGACCCCGATGCAGGCAACCGGAACCAGCTTCAAGGGTGACACTGTCCACCAATGACCTCAACCCACCTCAAATACAACGAGTTGTTGTTGAACATGTGGTCAGAAATCCTGATTTGACTGGTTCAACCTCACTTCGTCTTCGAACTTTTTCTGGATGGCTTCCTAAGCCGAGTAATGAAGCGGATTTTGAGTCCTGGCGTTCCCAGATTGAGTCTCTGCTTGCTGACCCCAGCTTTCCTGCGCTGCATATCACCAGGAAAATTACAGAAAGCTTGTCATCACCTGCAGCTGACTTGGTCAAAGGCTTGAGCCCCAACACATTACCAGCAATTTTGCTAAATATACTGGATTCTGCCTTTGGGACAGTGCAGGACGGTGAAGAACTGTATGCCCAATATTTAAACATTGGGCTCTAAGGAAGGATTATATTGGGTATAGTCTGACAACTGCTCGACGGTCAGGTTTTTTTTCCACCCCCGGTTTCAACCCAGGATGGTGAGCTACCAGATCACCGCAGCTTTGCGGTAGGACTAACTTGGATCAAATTGCTTTAGTTCTCTGGACCTATAGCTCTGGATTATGGACTAGGGAAAACAAAAGGACCTAGTTGGACTGTGATTGGTGGATCATTAATCACTCTGCATGTAAAGTACTGGACTTGAATGAGAAAAAGAACTCTTGGGTGTTATCGGGATTTATTTATTTATTTAATTATTGATTTATTTTTGTTGTTGTCTTCTTGTTGTAACTATTGTTTATACTCATAGGAAAATACAAATATATATTATTATTATTGAATACCTCCCTAAATATATGCAAGGATATGCTTTTGAATACAATTACAACCTGTCCGTTGGTGTTTTGTTCACATGCACGGGCTCCGCAGGCGAACCCTTCTGATTGCCTATTGCTATATTTGGCTGTGTCAGGCGCCTAGCCTCAGTGAGCGTTACATTCAGTAGCCGTTCTCCCATCGAGATTTTTTATTTTATTTTATTTTTTTTGCATGCATGCATTTTGAAGCATCACATTAGTAAATGTTGATGGAAACAGTAAAATTCAAAATAACTTTCTTGTTTTCACAAAGAAGTTTTAACCCTCGCTTGCCTGAAGTGGTTTTAGCTTTTCTGAAAAAGAGTCAGTGCGTGAAAGGAGAGATGTAAACACATTTGTTCTGACCTAGTGAATTTTCCCATCCACTGATGGGTCTGGGCCTTACCAAAGTCGCAAAGCCAAATTTAACATCAGCATCCAATGATATTACACTTTGTAAAATTGGCTCCTCATAGAAAAAATAGGTTGTTTTTACTTAAATCTATGTAAATAAATTGCTTCAAAAGAATCATTTATTTAAATGATTATTTAAATGATTATTTAATCATTTAGAAAAACAAGTGAAGTCACATTCTGCAATTCAAGTACTAAAAACCTACAATAATTTGATCAATTTTGCTTCTTGCCCTTGATGTCCCATAATTACATTTTCCAATACTTAAAATCAAAGCTTGAGCCACGGTTTACAGCAGAACATCCCTCCAGACTGCACTGTTATATTGACAACATGACTAATCAGTTTGACTGTCTTATCCAAACACAATGAAACAAGGAATGACAAGTTCATTGACTCACATATTTCATTTTGAGAGATGAACTAAGAATTCTGACAAAAGAACTGACTTTTGTGGGTAATCCAGGCCTAATTGCTGTTCGTATGAATTGTTTTGAGAAATGCACCTACCGTTTGTTGCACTCTCTATCTGAAACCCTTTTTTATATTTGCAGTGTGACCTATTCCTCTGGATGTGCTCATTCTCCTGGTTTCAATGTTTCCAACGAGACAAAAGTCATCTCTCTCTCTCACAGGATGAGCAGGATCAAGCTCCTGCCACATCACCAGGTAATGCTTTAAAACATGGGATTGGCTTCTCTTCTTTTAATATAACCTATTTTCATATTTTAGCATGAACATGTTCTAATTTCCTGTCTTCTCCACACTGAATATTTAGACTCTGTTAACGGATTACTGTGTTCCCTTCTGGCAGGCCCCTTAAGCGTCGTTTCTTTTTACATCATTACTCTTCTTGATCTTTTCTGCTCTCTTAAAGTGTCTGAATTTTGTGTTGCATGTTTATTTCTGCAAAATTAGCATCATAGATGCTCTTCCTGAGCTCTTTGTTATGCTTCGGGGGGAGGGGAGAGAGAAAAAGTAGATTACGCTGTGCATTTCTCCAAGACACACTCAGAGCAGGCTTTCTAGGCTTTCTAAAGCGTTTGAGAAGTTCTTGAAGATTATGAAGATAAATTCCATATACTTTAGAAAGAAAACAACTTAGACTTAATATATTGTTCTTTCTTCCACATTACTGCTAAACGTCTCTTTTCTGCTAATTTATTTATTTTTTATTTGTTTGCCCAATTTTTTTGATCTAGCTTTCCTACTTTCTAAAAACAGAAAAAATCAGTTTAGACTTAATTTTACCAAAACTGTTTATAACCCCTTGCTGTCTTAGGACATGGTGTCAATTGCAAAGCTTTCTACCCTTTCACCAATATGTCACCAGTCAGACAAAGTCACTAACACTGGTCAACAGACAAAAGTTGTCTTGGGTTGTTTGACTATTTTAGGGTAATTTTGATGAGCTAAATCCAAATATGACATTGGTTTTGCTCAAGAAAGTCAACTCTCTGAACTATGGATGCAACATGAGCATCAAAATGCAGGACTTATTCTCACATCTGTATCGGTTTCCTGAGAATCTGGATCAGCTAGTGATGGAGAGGTAATGTTCAAATCACATGTACTTACCCTTAGTTTGTTATTCAACTTACAGAAATCTTATATTAAGTATATATTAAGTAAGATTTTTTTCCTAAAACCCCTTTTTGGTGAGAAATATTAACAGAAATAAACTGATAATGTCACAAAAATGTCAATTTAGTAAGATCAGATTTCTCTATATTAAATTAGAATAAAAATCTGACTTGATCTATCTATTACATCACATTCCAGTCCCACCACCATCTATTTCTGATGATTTTTAAAAAAATGTATTATTATTATTATTATTATTATTATTATTATTATTATTATTATTACTGTAGTTTTGAACATAAAAAACACACACAAAAAAAACAATTGATTCAGGAAAAATCAACTTCCATTCATAACTTTGACATGACTGAAACAGGAGAGAGCAAAAACAAAAATGAAAGTGTGACAGAACTGTTTTAGAAGCGCACAGTGAACATGACTTTAGGGTCGATGTGCAGATTGGGGCCAAGTGAGGATACGGAGACGAGGAAGAATGGATGTATAGTCAGGGCCAGAGATGAGCGCTTGCCAAAGGCACATTGATTAAACACAGGAGGAATGGCGGGAGGTGAATCCCAGGTCTGACACAGCAGGGACAGGCCTGAGGCAATACGCCTCCATATATGTGTGTGGGGGAGTAAATATATATGTGAACCTTTACATGTGTGTCTATGTGTTTCTTGGAAGAGACTTGGTTGACCTGGAGCCGCTGAGCTGTCAGGAGCATTTAGCCTGGATTGGCTGCAAGCTCTGCCCTGTGGTTTTCATTAGACCCATGGGGACAGGCTTCTGTCGGACAGACACGGCAGACACCAGCAGAATGCCTTCCAATGCTGACAAACGGCAAAGAAAACAGTCAGGTCCAATACATACTTCTCTCATTTAGATGCTGCTCCACTTTGATAGAAGGACTTTAAAAGAATTGATGAGACCTGAATCCCTGTTGAAACACCGAGGTCCTTACTCTATTATCATGAGAAGTTTTACATCACATATTGACAGAAATTCAGCCGTGATATTGTTGATGCAAAGCTCAAATATTCTAATTCGCTGCACTGCTCAGTTTTTTGAGGTTCATTAAATCTTCGGTGTACTTTCAACTGGATAAATCCTGATTGGACCGAGTCAAGATATTCAATCACAATTGCTCAAAATTAAACCAAACAGGAAAGAATAGAAAATAATACAAAGTATCAGATAGATAGATAGATAGATAGATAGATAGATAGATAGATAGATAGATAGATAGATAGATAGATAGATAGATAGATAGATAGATAGATAGATAGATAGATAGATAGATAGATAGATAGATAGATAGATAGATAGATAGATAGATAGATAGATAGATAGATAGATAGATAGATAGATAGATAGATAGATAGATAGATAGATAGATAGATAGATAGATAGATAGATAGATAGATAGATAGATAGATAGATAGATAGATAGATAGATAGATAGATAGATAGATAGATAGATAGATAGATAGATAGATATAGATAGATAGATAGATAGATAGATAGATAGATAGATAGATAGATAGATAGATAGATAGATAGATAGATAGATAGATAGATAGATAGATAGATAGATAGATAGATAGATAGATAGATAGATAGATAGATAGATAGATAGATAGATAGATAGATAGATAGATAGATAGATAGATAGATAGATAGATAGATAGATAGATAGATAGATAGATAGATAGATAGATAGATAGATAGATAGATAGATAGATAGAGATAGATAGATAGATAGATAGATAGATAGATAGATAGATAGATAGATAGATAGATAGATAGATAGATAGATAGATAGATAGATAGATAGATAGATAGATAGATAGATAGATAGATAGATAGATAGATAGATAGATAGATAGATAGATAGATAGATAGATAGATAGATAGATAGATAGATAGATAGATAGATAGATAGATAGATAGATAGATAGATAGATAGATAGATAGATAGATAGATAGATAGATAGATAGATAGATAGATAGATAGATAGATAGATAGATAGATAGATAGATAGATAGATAGATAGATAGATAGATAGATAGATAGATAGATAGATAGATAGATAGATAGATAGATAGATAGATAGATAGATAGATAGATAGATAGATAGATAGATAGATAGATAGATAGATAGATAGATAGATAGATAGATAGATAGATAGATAGATAGATAGATAGATAGATAGATAGATAGATAGATAGATAGATAGATAGATAGATAGATAGATAGATAGATAGATAGATAGATAGATAGATAGATAGATAGATAGATAGATAGATATCCAACAATCTGATTGGACCCTCTGTACAAGACTAAAATATTTTTCACAATTGAAAACAGTTGTTTAGTATAGAAATACTGAATGATTTAAAGTTTGAAATAAATAACTTTTTCATTTCATTTTTGATTGGGAAGATGATAAATAACTCGTAAATAGTCTGTGTCTTAGCAGAAAACATGCAGTTCACAAGGCGTCTCCTCTGTTGGCATTTGCCTGCATTTTGTTTGGAAAACAAATATGTGTTATCATTAGGAGCACATGCAAAAACTATGGAAAGCAGCTGTCTGTAAACAGGAATGAGACAGCAGAAGAACTGAAAATCAGATCTGACACGCAAAAAGGCAAGTTTTCTTTCTTTAATGTGGAGCTACATAAAATTACACCAGTTACAGTTTTCAATTTGTTTTTGTTGTCTTCTTATCAGATTAATGTCTTTGCACAATCATCAGATTTTCAGTTTAAAATGTCATTAAAAATGTCTGGTAGGTTTTCATCCAATAGAATGCCTCTACAGGGTTCTTTTTTCATAAAATGACAGAAAACATTCATTAAGTGAACAGTCAGCAGTCTGTTTCTGAACAGGGAAATTGTGCTTCCATACAATTTGACTGTGTGGTTGCTTTGAGAGTGAGAGCTCTGTAAACAAAGTCAAATTGAAGCAGGGCCTATGTCTTTATGTGTATGCAAACACAGAGACGAGAGTCTTAATGTAGCATGAAGCCTCTTGGCTTTCCTTCACTAAGGTCACCAAACATAAGTTAAAGCTGTTTCCTTCTCCCAATAAGCGTCTTCTCTCAAAATCAGACATTTCAGGATGTAAATGAACACTACAAACAACTCGACACCCCAAACCCTCTGGGTCCTCAAATATACTGAACCTGTTTACTAGCAGCTGCTAGATTCTTCTCAAATCTTTGACAGTTCATTTCCGTCTTTTTTTCCTCAACACATTTTTTGAGACCCTGTTGACTATTTGCTGCAAAACATTTGATGGTTCGGTGATCATAACCCAATATGTTAGCAATTACAACAGTGGTGCATCAGACTTTTTACAATTTTGGATTTTTCAGAGTCACTTGGATTTATTTTTTTGGCCCATTTTGCCTGAGGAAAAGAAGTTGCTTAATAATTATGCACATCTCCATATAGGATGTTGATTTCCTTGGCCCTGCCCTCCCTCATTAAATAAATACACATCAGCTGATATATTTAATTAGCATTCAAGTTTATGCAGCTTTATCATAAAAAATTATGATATGGTCAAACTGAAATTCAGTCTTTTTGAAGAAATACAACAACAAAAAAACAAGTTTATTGAAATGTTGTTTTCAATGAAAGGCTTAGTACATTGTGTTTGTGTTTGCATGTGTAAACTGTTGACATTCATGGCATTCAGGAGGAATAGAGAAAATAAGTTTATCTTCATAACTAGAGCACACTTAGCGTGATGGGAATCCCAGCTCTCTCTCTCTCTTCTCATCTCCTGCTGTCAGTTATTTTCTCTTCATTTTTCTCCAACTTTCAATCACTTCCCCTTCTCCCTCCTTCTGTGTTTGCTGCATCTCTGTCCACCTTCCTTCCCTCTCTCTACCTCTAATGAGGTACAGTGGGGGGAAAGCATATGCTCAATTAGCAGTGGAAGCTTAACAGAAGGGAAGGTGTTAGCAGCTTCTTGTTTTCTTGGTTTAGAATGACATCAGTACCGGAAATAAACCCCAGAACCCAGGAGTGATATTTTAAGTCTAGAAAAACTGTTGAAATGCACTTGTGCA